TGGGGAGGCTTCACAATCATGTAGGAAGGTGACAGGCACGTCTTACATGGCGGCAGGTGAGGAAAGAATGAGAGCCAAGTGAAAGGGGAAACCCCTTATAAAACCATCAGATCTTGTGAGACTTACTCACTACCACGAGAACAATGTAGGGGAAACCACCACCATGATCCAATTATCTCCCACCAGGTCCCTCCCACAACACATGGGAATTATGGGAGCTACAATTCAAGATGAGATTTGGGCGGGGACACAGCCACACCATATCAATTTGGAACAAACTATAGCAAAAGAGAGCAAGTGAGACAGGAATGTCTGTTGATTCTAGCCCTTGTACTTAACTGAAGGAGACAACACCAGGTAACCAACGCTTATTACCATAGTAGAAATACCTTCCAGGTGGGTGAGGCTGTGCACTGAGCCTGAACACTTCAAACTTATTTTTCACTTTAAAGTCTACATTTTAAAGTCCTTTATAGTACTAACATAACTCATACATCTCCAAGTTAAACAGAAAATTAGTCTAGAATTGAATGTAGGTGGTTACTGCAGGATATTAGCACTTATAAATTACTGACTAGTACTGCTCTCTGTACTTTTCTTATTTCTCATGTTACAGAGGAGAAAACTGAAGCAATAGAGAATGAGTAACTGAACCAGCATTAAGCCATCTTGAAATCAGAAGGACCTGGGATTTAAACTGGAGTCTGTCTAACTCTACATCCTATGTTCTTTTCATTGTATCTTATAAATGTCAATCAAAAAATTCCTGTGAATTATTCTCTTATGCCATTTCCACATACAAAATTCTCCAAACTCAAGTCAAACAGCTGAAACAGACCAACATAGTTAATGTCAAGAGTTGTTATTTTTTTGTATAACAGTTTTCTCAGAATTGTCATTATTTCTCAAAAGTCATTCTGAATTCATGCTTTATTGTCTGTTTCTTTGAACTTTAAAAACAACCAAAAATCTATGGCAATCTCATAGTTGTATGCTTATTTTTTGCATCAAATTCAATGCTTCTAAACTCCCCTGGCTATTATTTTAGACATGGACATTTCATCAGGAATATTAGAAGAGCAATTGAGGGAACAATGAAATCTCATCTTGCCATATGTTTTGCCCCAATCTATTTTTCACGGCTTTGTGATTGTTATATTTTCCATAAAATTGATCCTCATGTAGACTGTTATGGTGAATTTCACAGCAGTGAATACAATTATCCCCAAATGGAGAAAGTGTAGTACTTGTCTACCTCACTGCAGAGGGTGTGATCTTAGCATGTAAACAGTTATTGTGGGGGGATCATACCAGATTTCAGCTTGATCAGGGAGTGTGGAGTTGACACATGTTGGAGGCGAGAATTATATTGAGTATTCTTAATTAACAGTTGTGTTTGATCAGGGATTTAGAAGTTAGCACCTGTGAGAAAGTGAGAATTGAATTCAGAATGGCCGACCTAAGCAGAACAGCTGTCTTGTTGTTGGTGGAGCTTAAGGCATTTGCTAGGAGATGTGCAGGAAAGTCAAGGTGAGTGATGTACATTGGAGGCACACAGTGATCTGTTTCTGTTTTTAGGGGAAAAAGAATCACTCGTTGAATAATGTATTATTTCTACTTTGAATGCCTCCAGAATCTGACCACTTACGACTTGGATATCCAATTTTGTGTTAAATTTAACAATTATGTATCTACAGGTAAGGCAGCATAGCTCACTAGAAGGGAATTGTGTTTGGAGTTGGATAGTGCAGGTTGTATCTGGCTTCAGTGATTTTTTTTTTTTTTTTTGAGACAGAGTTTCGCTCTTGTCATCCAGGCTGGAGTACAGTGGTGCCATCTTGGCTCACTGCAACCTCCGTCTCCTGGGTTCAAGTGATTCTTCTGCCTCAGCCTCCCAAGTAGCTGGGATTGCAGGCACCCACTACCATGCCCAGCTAATTTTTTTGTACTTTTAGTAGAGACAGGGTTTCACCATGTTGGCCAGGCTGGTCACAAATTCCTGACCTCAGATGATCTGCCCACCTCAGCCTCCCAAAGTGCTGGGATTACAGGCGTCAGCCACCATGCCCAGCCCACTGATTTTTGTTGTGTAAACTTGGGCATGGATTTTCCTCTCTAAAGCTCAATTTCTCCATCAGTAAAATGAAAGTTATGATTCCTATATAGCAAAAGTGATGAAAAGAGTTAATCTAATCCAAGTATAACACAGTTAGCAATAGTATCTAATACACAAGACAAACATTAAATGAGTGTCCTTTTCTGAGACATAACACCTTCTCCTCCAGGTAAACTAAGCTTCTCCTTAGTCCCTAAATATGTATCTTGTTCACGTGACTTCTGTGCTTCATCTGGGATACTGTTTTCACTTGGATTATTTTACTTTCCTTTTCCTTTTGTTCACATATTTCCCTCTTTGGGATGTATTTATAGCAACAACAAAAATCCCTGTTTTAATCTCAATTTCAGATTTAACTGGGTACCCTGTATCTTTCTTTGCTAAATCTGGCACACCTACTCTAGGAGGTGTTGTCTTTTTAAACTTTAGGATTTGGGCCCAGTGGTCTAAGTGGCAGCCACTAGACAAGTACCTAACACTCAATAAGTACTTATTGATTAGAAAGGAGAAAACTTATAACACGTATCCTGCTTAGTTGTGTTCAGACTTGCCTTATTAAATACTTTTTCGTTTATTTGTTAGAACTAGATTCTAAGTCTATGGACTCAGAGTCCTTAGTTTATTACAGTCATTATGGCATGTCAGTAAGAGTTAAAGTTCTTGGATTTCATAATTATGTGTGAAATTTCCCAGAAGAGGATAAGCTTAACACAATAGCTTTCCTCAATGGTAGACTTTCAATATGGCTAAATCTTAACCTAAAAGAGTAATTGTCCTTTACACTGCAGCCCAAACGACCCTAATTAATGACTTTGCTAACAACTGTTTTTGCTTATAAGCACTTTCTGTTACTTTGTTAAGTTAGGCATAAATATCCATACAATACAAAATATATTGTTAGAAATAATCTTTTTAATTCCTCAAGCTTACTTTCTTTGTATTTATTTAGCTATCCATTTACCTGTTCAGTTACTTATAGTTAGATAGGAAGCAAGTCAAAATACATTTATTGAGCATCTATTCTGTGCCAGGTGCTTTGATGAGAGCGGGATACAAGGAGACGACTGAGCCTACAGAACTTGGGCCCTGAGGCCACTGAAGCTGTTTTAAGAAGAGAAAAATTAAGAAACAAACCAAATGAAGGGATATATAGAGTGCTCTGTGTGTGTGTGTGTGTGTGTGTGTGTCTGTGTGTCTGTGTACACATGCTTTTAGATAAGTACTTTAAAGGGAAGAAATTCAAGGAAAAATGTTGGCTCAGCCCTCGGAACCCTATAGACTTAAAAAGATTAACCTAAGGAGGCACACATTTTCTCAGAAAAGTGAATGTTAAATTTGTATAAAACTATGACTGAATCATACATTTACTCTATTCTGCCTTATATTATCATTACTTGGGTCTCCACATTGAGTGGCCAAGAACCAAGTTGGGTCATGCATATAAAAGTATTTCTACTCTCTTTTATTGTCTAAGCTTGTAAAGTTTTACAAAGGTTAGAGAGCAGCTTTAATAATGATACCCAATCTGAATCTGTCAGCTGCTTCTTACTCTCATTCTCATAAGAATAAGCAGTGGTGGAAATTATTCCACAAATGCAAACACACACAGATGACCACAGCTCACTCCAGATTACTTTCTTGCTTAGGATCCAAGGACAATGACTATGTAAATCTGAAAACAAAAAGGACACATCAGTCCATTAAATATTAACATGACATTGCTTTTGAATTTGAAAATGTGTAATTTTTTTTGAAATAAAAGAATGAGATAGTCTTGAGATGTTTAATTTCTGGGATGTGGTAAATTTATAACTGTTTACCAAATAATATCCACAAACCCATCAAACAATATGTTTCCTTATATTAAGGTGAAGATTAATCAAATGCAATGTAACTCTGGCACTAAATAACTTCAAATTACCATTAATTTTGGAAATACTTGTAAGTTACTTAATAGTTAACATTAGTAAATATAGCAATATTTTAAAATATCAAGAAAAATACATAACTTAACAGACCCAATAAATTAAAACTTCATAAATTGCATGTCTTTTCTCGATTTCTTTTCAAGAAATTAATGGAATTATAAACTGCCCACAAACAGTTTTGAGACCAAGATTAAGGTGACTGGCATCCAGATGGTAATAGTGATATGTGGATATTCTTTGACTTTAACTGTATGATTTAAGTACAATAATGGGGTCTATATGGATTACATAGAAAACCAAATATTAAGGAAGCAAACAGCATGAAAAAAGAAAGCACAGTGGTACCTGTCCAAATACCGAAGCCAAGGGAAGAGAGAGAAATCCAAGGAAAGAAGACGTGTAAAGTCATGGGATACCGAGATGAATTCTGTGCTGAAATGAGGATGTGGAGTCTCTTTATGCTATCATGGGCTAGCTTAAAGGCAGATAACACTGTAGGCAAATGCTCAATCTCTGCTCTCAGGTCAAAGATCCTCTGGGGAGATAGATAATCAAAAACGATCATTTCATGGGACCTGTGTGAAGGTAGTGGTGAGTGCAGGGCCCCACATACAGTGGAACCCTAGAAGGAAGGATGGGTGAGGGACAAAGGTCAGTGAAGGAGACAGAAATGAGTTTCAGGATTAGGGAATTCAGGTGATACATGTATTTTTTATTTGTTTGTTTTTTGTTTTGTCACATGAAGACATTTTTGGTAGAACCAAGCTTGATGTTTCAAGTCTGAAAATACTGAACACTCAGTGGTCCAGTTATCTTCTTCCACAGAGAAAACAGAATTAATTTTCCTTTCCATACCAAAGTCTACCAGATTTGTACTTTCTGAGGGGAGACAGTTGTTCTTGTTCACATCACATGCGCAGCACCTATAATAGAGACCTATCATTGTAAGTACTTACTCAGTGCCTGTTGTTGAACAGATGAGGCCCTCAAAGAGGAGCCATTCTAGGTGTGGCTGACTCAAGGTTCTCTTCCCTGCCTCATTCAGCCCCAACTGCCAGAGGCCAGTGCACTGTGAAGACAGCACAGATGTTGAGGAAGGCCCCTGCCTGTTGTCAATCCAGTTATTTAGCTTAATCTTCACTCCAATAGTCTATAAAAGTTCCTATATCTCCTTATTGAGAAATAGAAGCTCAGTGAAAAGTCCTTCCCATTAGCTGGTTTTCACAATGCGCACACACTTAACACCTACACACATACATGCATGTGTGCATATATGCATGCATACGTACATCCAACCCACAAATCCCTGTGTGTCAGACACCAGCTGATTTGTCTGGGGCTGGGTACAGAGTGTGTGGAGGGGGACAGGCTGGGAGGGATTCCCATGTATTGGGCAAGGTACCAGCATCTCCTTAGCTCTTCCTGCCCCCACCTCATGTTCTTAGACTGTTTTTCCCTCTCCTTATTCTAATAGTAACATTTCTGATTTTCAGTTAGTCTCCTCAGTTCTTTCCTCACTCAGTTCCCTCAGTTTTTTTTTTATTTTTCTATTGCAAAGCAAATCCTTATAGGCTATAGTGTATTTTCCTTTGTGTCAAGTATTTCAAACATGTCTAATTGTTCCCAGGTCATCTTTTGCAGTTTTTTAGTGTTACTAATAAGACATAATTACTCAGGCAGTTCTTTTGTCTATAATAAATTCTACTAGGTTCCATTTTAGCTATTATTCACTTTATTTTGTGTTAAACATCTCTGACAATGATACAGACTGTATGTTTTCTAGAAGACTGATAATAGTCATTTATTTTTGGCGCAGAATGCAGAGGTCATCAGGATGGCAACCATGTAGAATGTGAGCACTTGTTGGTGTCAAAGGCAGGATCCTAACGCCCTGTGCCTTCTGGCCCCACCGCACTCACCCACACCGGGCATTTTCACTCCGAGGTGTGGGTCCCATCAGCCCGAAAGTCCCAAAGTTAGGTTTTCTCTTTCTTATAAAATGACATCTTCAGGACTTAAATCATGAAAATACGTTCATTCCTCCAGAAAATAATGTTTCCATGCAGTTACCATGAACTAATACTATAATAAAGAATGGTCTTTGATATTGGCTCTTAAAAAAAAGAGACCAATGACAAAATAACTGCAGTTGCTGAATAATGATTTAAAAAATCAAAAAAATCTGTAGTGATACTAATAAAATTTCTATCTAACATACTTAATATAAATCCTTTTGCCAAGAGAATGCTTAATGTCATCCTTTGAGAGGGGGAAAATTCACAACCTTTTCCACAAAGTAAACACTTTCTACATTTCAGCCACATTAACTATCAGGAAGTATTTTGTTACGAAGTAGAAAATGAGGCTGTTTAAATAACATGAACTGATGTCATTTAGGAGTAACTCCAGAAAAAAACTGTGAGGCATTATTTCGAGTGGATGATACATCTTTTTTGATTCCATCACTCTGCTGACATCTTGTCTGTCTGTTACTGTCAAGAAGTTTGACTTATTTTCTAACCACACCATATCAAATATCCTATTCTTACCTTTCTGAGCATTTACTCAACCTGAAGTCTTTCCAGATTCTGCTTGAGTGTATCCCAGCAAGACTAGTGTCTCTTCTGCCTTGAGGAAAATGGGTGAATGCCACTGGTTTGCTGGTAAATGTTTGAGCACCAGCTATCCGAAAGAAAGAAAAGAAGAGTCGTAATTTGTGGTCTTGGTCAATTCCTGAGGTGTAACTATTTCCACCCTTGATGAATTAAAGCCACCAGTTTGACTGAGCTTAGAGTTGGGAAGAAGTGAATGCATCACGAGCTGGAAGAGCTGGCTCCAGCCACACACTGAGGGTTGTGAACTTTCCTATTATTTGGGGAATTTATGAGATGAGAAGCTCCAACAGAGGAGTAGAGAGCTTCCCCTAGATGTCTGGATGAGAATGGAAGAGAGGAGAGGTGTTTTGATAGAATCGTTTGTGAGTTCAGGACTCTGATGAGAGTTCCAGGACAAGTTTGCAGCTTGGATTGGTCGTATGTGTGGGAACAAGCAGTCAGGGCAATGAGCAGGTGAAGTCAATTCTGAAGCTACACGTATGTTTCTCGGTTATTTTCAAACTTTCATCCTAAGAATCACATACAGCCTTTTCCAAAAATGCAGATCTCTTAGTTTTTACCCAAGCTGAATCAGTCCTTCAAGAGAGAGCCCTGAGAAATTATATTACAGTAATTGTCATCACTGTAATTCTACTGATTAGGCAAGATTAGGAAACAGAGAAATTGAAGCCTTGCCTTGGGGTGTAATTATCCAAGGGAAAGAAGTAGAATGGTGGTTTCTAATCCTAACTGTGCAACAGAATTACCCAGGGAAGTTTAAAACTTCTGCTGCTTCCCAGCCACTCCAGAGATTAGGATTTAATTTGTCTGGGGTTGTTGGGAAGGCTGGACATCTGTAGATTTAAAGAGCGCCCAGGTGCTTCTGATATGCAGCCAGGCTGGGAAGCGCTGATGTGGTCCTCCTGAGAAGGGGACTGACAACAGCACTCGAGGGAAATCAACAGTTTAAGCTGAAGCGTGTCATGTCACAACTGCAGCTTCTATGTTTATAAGTTTATCTTTCTCAGCAAACTGTGTCCTCCCGGAGACAAGGGCTCACGTCTGCTTTCCTTCTGTGCCCTCAGCACTTAACCAGCAGTGGGCATATGGTAATCCTACAGTAAATGTTGAGTGAGTGAATGTCCTAATTGGCTTACCTCATTAATAACTTGGTGATAATGTGTTGATTAATGCATTATCTTGTTCTGAGTAACATATTTGTGTTTCTACGGGACCATCTGCAGACAATGACTTAACCCAGAGAAATACCTCCCCTGCTGCGGCAGGCAGGTGGGGGAGACATTTTTTATTAATCCTTTCTCTTTCGTACAAAGTGTATTATGTGGGCAGCTTGTTTTTATTAAAGACAGTCTAGTGTCCTCGTGTATTTGATTTAAGTGTGCCTTAAATATCAACTTCCCAGCTGGAAGGTACAGGGCAGGGCTTTGGAATAATTATTTTAAAAGAGATATAAAGTGGATAGTATTTCTATATTTACAAGCAGTTAAAGACATGCAGTGCTGGATAAGGTAAAAACTTCTCAAATGTGAAAAAAATGACATTTTCCTCATAAGCACAAAATATTCCAGAATGACAAACATTAATTTATTCCAAAAGCATGTATTTCATTCTCAGTCCACAGCTTGTTTGGAGAATGAGTACAGCAAATATTCGTGTGTGCTCCCCGCACCTGTGGTCTACTTGGTAAATAATGTGTATCTCAGTCTTCGCACTCATGACTAATGATGAAGGAATCCATGCCTGTGTTCCCTCTGTACGCTTCTCCCATGTGTCTTACCTTTTCCTAGTTTGTTCTCTTGATTTTCTCAATGACAATTAAAATAGAATTCAATGAGAGAAAAGGGCTTCTTGCTTACTGCCATTGGTTCTGCTTTGATGACTTTAAAGTGAACAATCACCTGCTCTCCTCTGCGCTGGGAAGCCTGCATGTCCCGAGACCCGGGGAGGGAAGGGAACTTCTGTGTCTCTCCCCACAACCTCCTCCACTGGGGTGTGATGGAGGAAGGCCAGCTGGAGACGAGCAGTGTGGTTTGTATCAGTTATAGAGACCTTTCTGCAAGTCTACCAGATCTGGGCCATCCACCAGTGGCAACCTTGCACCCCAGGGGACATTTGGCAACATCTGAGACATTTTGGGTTGCCATACTTGGGGGAGGGGGTTGGTGAGAAGGTGGTACTGGCATCCAGTAGTAAAAGTTAGAGATATTGAGAAGTATCCAACAATACACAGGGCAAACCCTAAAACAAATGGTCATTCATCCCCAGATGCCCACAGTGCCCAGATTAGGGAACTCTGACCAAGGACTACATTCATATCCGTATCTGTCTCCAGGTGACTTCTTATGAGAAAGGACATTGCCCTCAACAATACATGTGGTTACTTGTCTACATTTCCATTTACTGAACTCTAGTCAATTCCTAGAGGACAGGAGCAGCACTATGCCGTCTCTGTACCTCCCAATAACCTAGCACAAACCCTTAGGCTTAGATGCCCAAGGAATGAAATGAAGTCAGCCAGCAGACACTCTCTGTCCTGAGCCCTCCCTCGCTGGCTCTTCCACGATATGTAAAATAGTTTGTTTTGTGTTGCACCTTGAAGGCCTCTGTAAAAGCGGGAATCACACCTTGGAGGCAAAACACTGGAATCACCCTCCATCTCAGCGCCTGTGCCACAAGGCCACTGTGAGGCCCTCATGAGTTCATGTGGCCACCTTTTCAGAAAGCCTGCTGCTCTTAATTAGCGTTAGCTACTGTTACTACTACTGCTGCTACTGTTATTATTACTACTACTACCACTACTATCACTATTATCACTATTACTACTATCACTGCTACCACCACTACTGCTACTGCCGCTACTACTACCACCACTACTACACCTACAACCACTACTATTCCTACTATTACTACTACCAACACCACTACTACTATTACTACTACTACAACCACCACTACTACTACTATTACTAATACCACCACTACTACCACTATTACTACTACTACAACCACTACTACTCTCATTACTACTATCAGCACTATTACTAACACCACCACGACTACCACCATTACTACCACATTACTACTACTATTACTACCACCACCACCACTACTACTATTAGTAGTACTGCTACTGCCACCATCAGTATCACTACTACTACTGCCACTACTACCACTATTATTACTACCACTACCACCACTACTACTACTATTACTACTACTGTCGCTACTATCACCACTACTACTATTACTACTAACACTAATATCACCACTACTACCACTATTAATACTACCATCACCGCTACTATTACTATTACTGCTGCCATTATTACTAATGTTACTACTACCACTACTACTATTATTACTACTGCCACTGCTACCATTACTGCTATGACTACCACTCCTACTACTACTATTGCTACCACTACTACTACTATTACTACTACTGCCTCCCCCGTTTCCTACTACTACTATTACTATTTAATCATAATTCATATAATGGGGAAAAGGATGTCTAACTCATTGGTTTATGCCAAAAAGGAAATCTCATTTTTTTCTTTATTTTTTCCCAATATTTTCCCAACCATTCTCCACCCCTGTCCTTGGTAACCACCTTTCTACTTTCTACTATAAGTCCCACTTTTAAATATATTCCACATACAAGTGAGATCACGCAGTATTTGTCCATCTGTACTAGGCTTATTACACCTCCATAATGTCTTCCAGGTTCATCCGTGTTGCTGCAAATGGCAGTTTTTCCCATCTTCTGAAGGCTGAGTAGTGTTTCATTGTGACATATGCCATATTTATTGATAAATCCATTCATTTGTTGATAGACACTTGGGTTGATTCCATATCTTGATATTGTGACTAGTGCTGCATTGAACATGGGAGTGCAGGTCTCTCTTTGACATACTGATTGCCTTTGGATATATATCCCCAGTAGTGGGATTGCTGGATCATGAAATCTGATTTCTAATGCAATAGTTCTAAAACGGGGTGTGATTTTGCCTGTCTCCTTAGGAAAATGTAGTAATGTCTGGAGATTTTTGGTTTTCTTTTTGATTACCAACAATGGTGGTTGCTACTGGCACCTATTGGGTAGAGGCCAGAGGTGCTGACTGGCACCCAACACCACGCAGGATAGCCCCCAACAGAGAATTATGCAACTCCGAATGTCCCTGGTGTTGAGGCTGAGAATCATGGAAGTAGGCCAATGCGTGGTCCATTGCTGGGGAGCGACGGGCAGCTCTGCCCTCGTCTGCTAACACTGGCCTGTCACAACCATCTCACACCTGGAGCACAACTCTGCCTCCTGCCTTGAGCTCACTTTCAGGAAACAAGGCAATGAAAATCAATTTGATGCCATCAGGCTGGTTTCATGGACAGGCTCTTGCCACCTGGGACTTCTTACCTTGTCTCTGTTTTCCTCCTCCAGAGACCAGCTGGGCCCCGGGAGCTGGCCACGTTGGCGCCAGGAGCCTGCTGGGCCCAAGTCCCTGGAGCCAGCTGGGGCACATGGCTGCCTGCATGTCAGCTGTCTGGGAAATCCTGCAATTCGGTCACACGGGGGCTAGGAGCGGAGCACCCAGGCCCTACCCTCGCCCCTCACTCCTCACAGGGTGCTGAGGGCTGCCTCGAAGGAAAAATGAAATAAAATAAATGAGTAACAATAAATAAATCCCGAATGTGTCATCATGGGGCATCAGATGTGCCTCCCTTGAGACACCTCCCAGGGTAGGACCCATTGCTATGGTGAACAGTCCCGGGGAGCAGGGGAGCATGCTGAGGAGTTTCAGGGGAGGGTGGCATCACCCGTCAGCCTCTAGAAACCTCTCTCCTGAGCTTCAAAGGAGATCTCGCCCTCAGAGGAAATGCAGGAGGAGGATGTCCTTCCCCTTTATAGATGAGGATATTAGCAACAAGAGCTAACGCTCACTACATGCTGGGTCCAGCTCTAGAAAGTGTTGTATGTGGGAACTGATTTCACTCTCATTACTGACCCTAAAGGATTGTAAGGTGTGGTCAACACTCCACAAATGCATGGGATGAATTGGATTCTTGAGTTGGTTTCTCTTGACAGTTACCTGGGTTTAAGGCCAATGGAGACATTTGGGGGAAATGTGTGAGGATGAGGTTCATTGAGACTCCTTTTAGAACCCAGCTGATAAATAATATTCTCAGTGTAAATCTGGGCTCCAGACTTTTACGCATGTCACTTTATACACAGCCTGGTCTAAGCACTGGCTTATTGTGACCATTTGGGTGATACCAGGTGAAATTAGTGAAAAGTCAAAAATACGGAATTTTTAGACGAATAGGCACTTTCTTTCAAAGGTTGTTAAAGAAGCTGATTTTGTACTGCTTTTGCTGACTTTGATGAGGTGAGAGCACTGTAATTAGCCCAGCAAAATAAACACTCATGTTATTTCATGTATATATACTTTTTAAATCTTTGAAGATAATTTTATAGAGAAGACAAATAACTTCTCCTATTTATTTATTTTGAGATGTCACTTTCCTAATTTGTGAAATCTAAATTTGTGAGAGTTAGAAAGAAAGCCAACTACCTAAGTTAGGCCTCCAAACCACTGTGCGTCCCTTTCAGGGCCCTGCCCATCTCTTTCTTGTTCCTTGGTTAAGAACACGAACTTCAGGACTTGCCTCACGTTAGGGCCTGTTCTTTGTTTCCCAGAAAGAAAAGGCTCTCAACACAGAGTCCCATGTACACCAGGCTGCCAACAAACATGAATTGAATGAAGGAGTGGATGGCTGGGTGGAAATGATTTAAGAAATCCTAACTAGGGAATTTCACTGGAAACTTACGAAATTCAATTTATGTGAAGTCTATGAATTGTCCATTTTTGCGTCTGCATATTCAATGCCGTAGCTAATTTCCTGCTAAACAGTAGAAATTCAGTCAGTGTTTATGTTGAAAGAATGAAATTTGGAGCTGGGCATGGTGGCTCACGCCTGTAATCCTAGCACTTTGGGATGCTGAGGCCGGCGGATCACGAGGTCAAGAGATTGAGACCATCATGGCTAACACGGTGAAACCCCATCTCTGCTAAAACTTCAAAAAATTAGCCAGGTGTGGTGGTGGGCATCCGTAGTCCCAGCTACTCGGGAGGCTGAGGCAGGAGAATGGCGTGAACACGGGAGGTGGAGCTTGCAGTGAGCCGAGATCGCACCACTGTACTCAGCCTGGGCGACTGAGCAAGACTCTGTCTCAAAAAAAGAAGAAAAAAAAAAAGGCCAGGCGTGGTGGCTCACATCTGTAATGCCAGCACTTTGGGAGGCCAAGGCGGGTGGATCATGAGGTCAGGATTTCAAAACCAGCCGGACCAATATGGTTAAACCCCGTGTCTATTAAAAATACAAAAATTAGCCAGGCGCAGTGGCAGGTGCCTGTAATCTCAGCTACTCGGGAGGCTGAGGCAGGATAATCGCTTGAACTTGGGAAGCAGAGGTTGCAGTGAGTCGAGATCACGCCATTGCACTCAAGCCTGGGTCCTGGGTGACAAAGTGAGACTCTGTCTCAAAAAAAAAAAAAAAAAAAAAAAAAAAGAAAAGAAAAGAAATTTGAGTGCTCTTTCATCCTCAAATAAATCTAGTAAAATAGAAATAAGATTAAGTCATGAGCATAATCATGAGAAGGCGGTCATTCTAATAACAGTGTCTTGACAAGTAGATGCTACATGTAGTGTAATATTTTGATTTAAAAAGTCCCTCTCAAAGTTTCCGAAGTGAGATAATGTACAACGATCCATGTTTTTAGCTACCTTGATAAGTTTAGTGCATCCAGAGCTCTTTCTTACTGGTTAACCGCCGAGTTTCAAATGCTAAGAAATTCTTGATTTTCTAACACAAATATTCAGTATAATTGCTGGTTGTTTGGGAGAAGAAAAATTTAGAATTCAGGAAGAAATAGAGAATGAAATGTTCTAATCAATCGAAAAAGGATTCTATAGACTTCGACGTTGTCTGGTTTACAAAGCAGTCTGCTAATCTCTCACGTGAAATGAATCCTAAGTTGTAGCATTAAAATAGTGATACTTAGATATAAAATTAGAAATGCAATTACAGTCAGAGGGCTTGAAAGAATCATAGAACCCACGTAGGATGACAGCACAATCGGGTGTGGGGGATGAAGTGTGCTGAATCCATCCATTTCGGTGCTAAAGCAGCAGCAGGAAGGAGCGCAGGGAAAGTGCTTAGAGGACAAATTAAGCTTCTAGCAACTGTAGCCGGATTGCATCAGTTAGCATCAATTAGGCTGCCAGGCACAGGACCGAGGCCACTGAGAAGGCTGCTGCAGTAATGAGAGAAGGACATTTTGCGCACCTGCAAAAGATGAAGTCTGTGAACTTGAGTTCATCACCGTAAGAGAAGATGCTGTGAGGGATGAGAGAAGATGAAAAGCACCCTAGGCTCCTGGAAAATCTGGAGTCCAGGGCCTGGTGTCCGGCATGAGGCCACTGTGCAATCTTGCCTCTCTGTGCTCGCATCTGTAAATCAGGACATAGAGGTACATCATCACTTAGGGTACGGCTGTCTTCTTATAAACCAGTCTGAGTCTGTGGTACCACATTAAAAATCACATATTGCAGAAACCAGGGCAGCCACTAGCCCCTGGGACATAGTGTGAATATAGCGATGGATGGTTTATTTTTCTATACCTGCCCCTGTGCATTGCTGGAGGACACGGTCACTATCTTCTTGATATTAATAGTGACAAAATTGACAACACATCAAATTTCTCTGAACAGTAATCTACTATCTACTGCACATTCAAAATCTGAGAAACTCCTCATGAATTATATCACTGAACCTTTACTTGTGCTTTATGAAAGTGCACAAGCAGGTTAACAGTAGGAGAATTCACCAGGTCACTTCCTTACCCGAGTTCCATGCTTTGTCTTCTCATTAACTCTTGTTGACCTGGACCCAGAAAGTCAAGATTTTATGTTTTTTCTAGAGTTAAAATGTTTGTCAGTTATATAATTTATAAAACGTAGCTTAGAAAGGTAAATAACTACCCCTCAGTCATATAACTAAAACGGGATAGATTTATATTTTAAATACTTTTCTCATCTGTTTCCAAACCCCACACTCTTTTCACGTCTCTACTGTTTAATAAATGATCATGTAATAGAAAATATGGGAGTGTATGAAAAGGGAACTAAAGAAGAGGACATTTGAAGAAAGAAAATTGAAGAGAATTATCTTCCACAAGGGAATGTATTTTTAAAAAATATTATCTAAGTCCTAATTTTTTAGACAACATATGAAACAAACAAACAAAACCACCTACGAAGTGCAATGAACATGTAATGTTCTCTCCTGGACTTTTGCATACAGAGCACATATTTTAAAGAGGTGGAAAGAACATTGGCCAAGACCCAGCCTTCCGTCTCTCTTCCCTTCCTCTCTCCCTCTTTCCTCTATTACTTCCCTCATTCATAAATTAACTCATTCATTCTTCAATGTGTACAGTTTTTTCAGGTCTTGTCAGCTTATCTGGAGAATAAACTGTATGAAGGGAAGCAGTAAACAATGAGTTTGGACAGGCAGATCTGAGTTCAAAAATCATGCATTCAGGTAGGTGAGCAAACACAAGGCAATGAAGCTAAATTAATTACTATAGTAGATTCCTATGTTCATGGCAGGTTTAGGGAAGACTTCTGGAAGGCAGGAATGAGCTGAGATATGACACAGGGTTAAGAATTGCCAAACTGAGGACACATTATCCACTAGAATACTCAAAGGAGAAATTGGTGATTTCCACTTTATTCCATTAAAATAAACTCTTCCCAGAGGAAGGAACTTGGTCATCTTCACTTTATTCCATGAGGACAACAAGATTAGGGACCTCACCTGACTAATCGTCACTGACTTACACTCATCTAGCCCAGCTTGTGATAGACAGTAGTCTCTTAATACTTAAATATTGAGTCAAGGAATATTTTTCCTTGTCTGTTTTCAGAAACTCTTATCTCAAAAGATCACATGCTTAGGATCGTTGGTACTGAGATCACAAGGAAGGGGAAAATGGAAATAAATTGAGATGTCATAGACACAAAAGTCAAACTGCATCTTCTCATTTATTACCCCCAATACTATGAGCATCCTGAGGCTGAGGTTAATGATCAGGGAGGGTTACATCACCAAAGTCACCTTTTCAGTAAGAAATCAAGCTCAATACTATGAGTATTCTGAGGCTGAGGTTAATTATCAGGGAAAGTTGTGTCACCAAAGTCACCTTTTCAGTAAGAAACCAAGCTGGAGCTTAAGACTTGAGCTCTGTGATTCTAAAACCCTTGCCCTGGACCATGTATAAGATGCAAGTTTGCAAATGCTTCCTCAGGCTAAACATTGGAATACATAACTAGGCATGGTACCAACTTGGAAATTAACTTGAAGAGCAACAGAAGCACTTGCTTTATGAAAGTGCACAAGTAGGTTAGCAGTAGGAGAATTCACAAGGTCACTTCCTTACCCGAGTTCCATGCTTTGTCTTCTCATTAACTCCTGTTGACCTGGACCCAGAAAGTCAAGATTTTATGTTTTTTCTAGGACCAAGCTCCAGCCTCATCAATCATTTAGTGTGCTCCTAATGTTCTCTCAGGGTTTGACTCACACGTCGGCTGTATTCTTGTTGAGGACAGAGCAGATTCAGCTGCCTGGTGCTTCTTCTCCAGCGCAAGGGAAGAAGACACCATTGTGGCTAAATAATCTGAACTTTGCAGTGTCTTGCAGGATAAGGAAGATGGCAGAAACCACAGTAATACTAGATCAGGCAAGCGAAACTTCAAGTCTGGTGAGACAGGGCAGCCTAGGATAATGATTAGTGATGGGGACTAGAGGCAGTTCTTAATTTGAATCACTATTTTGTCACTAACTACTAGTTAGACATGATGCAAGTTATTTATCTTCCCTCAGTGTCATGTCATTTTTTTTTTGTAATTGATGAAATGGTGATAATAATGGTGATACAGATCTTCTATCATAGAATTGTGTCAGCATTAAATGAGACAATCCATAGATGGTTCCTTAGTACTGAAGGAAGGTTTGTTATCGTCTTTGACTAAGTAAACCAGTATGCATTGTAATAAATGTTTTTGCATGTTACATTAATTTTTAGTAAATAATAATATCCTGATCTAATAATAATTAAGCTTTTACAAGCAGGTATAACAACAACAGTAATAGCTTCCCTTTCCTTCCCCGATGCCCAGTAGGGATTTTGTTTCTAAATATTGACCAGGCTCAACAGATACTGTGAACATGGTCAGTCCTGTTGGCCTCACTGACATTTCTTGAACTCATCTTTCAAAGCACAAGAAGGCAAGGAAGTGCTGAATCCAGAGGAAGACAATGTTGACCATGCGCAAGTCAGCTCAGCACCATCTGCAGGAGGCCTCATTGTTTTCTGTTTAGATCTTATTTCTTTTTTTCTTTTCATTCTTTGTGATACTTTTTATTTGTTTATTATTATTATTTGGGTTTTTGGGGGTTTTTTGTGGTTTTTTTTTTTGACGGAGTTTCACTCTGTCGCCAGGCTGGAGTGCAGTGGTACAACCTCGGTGCACTGCAGCCACCACGTCCCAGGTTCAAGCGATTCTCCTGCCTCAGTCTCCTGAGTAGCTGGGATTACAGGCATGTGCCACCACGCCTAACTAATTTTTGTATTTTTAGTACAGACGAGGTTTCACCATGTTGGCCAGGATAGTCTTGATCTCTTGACCTCGTGATCCACCTGCCTTGGCCTTTCAAAGTGCTGGGATTACAGGCATGAGCCACTGAGCCTGGCCTATTTGTTTTACATATTACTGCACTGGCCAGAACATCTGGAAAACACTGAATAGCTGTAATAGCCAACATCCTTTCTTGCATTCCATGATTAGGCAGGATGCTATTTAAGATAAATTTGGAAAGAATGTATTTCCCCTTTTCTAATTTCTTATACATATTTTATTTTATTATTTATTTTTGTAGTAATTTCAACTCTTATTTCAGATTCAGGGGGTCCATGTGCAGGTTTGTTACCTGGTTATATTGCATGAAAATGAAGTTTGGGGTGTGACTGATCTCATCACCCAGATACTGAGCAATAGTTTTCAACCCTTGCTCAGGGTTGTCCCTGAGCCCTTTGTCCACCTTTATGTGTCCTATGTCTACTGGGTCCACCTTTATGTCCACGAGTACCCAAAGTTTAGCCCCCGATTATTGGTGAGAGTATGTGATATTTGTTTTTCTGTTCCTGCATTAATTTGGTTAGCTTAATTCTTCCAGCTCCATCCATCTTGCTGCAAAGAACATGATTTCATTCCTTTTTATGGCTCTGTGGATTATATTTTTAATTCTTTTCTTGAATTTGACTTTGAATGCATATTAGAAACTTATATTCTCTTTATTCTTTCTTTCTGGATATTTCTGTCTCAATACTTTGTGATTTTTCAGAGATGCCTACCACCAAATTAATGTTTCATGAAATAGTATGTGTGGGCTTTAAGAGCTTGGATGAGACTATGAACTTTGATATGAAAATGAGGGTTATATATTCATGACCTTCTAGAGGAGAGAACTCCTAATTCCATCACCAACACAGTACCTGGTACATAGCAAATACTCAAATAAATGTTTGTTGAACTGACAAGGTAATCATCAGATGGCTGTTTTGATTTGCACATGGCAAAAAAGAACTGAGAATTAGCACGGAGACCTAAGAGAGATGATCCATCTCCATCATCCTCACTGTACTTGTTGGTGTTTACTGTATTATAGTAAGTCGATTTGTTATTTAGACGGTTGCTTCTGGAAAAAAATTATGAGGAAGGAAGACTTTACTCCCTGTTTAATAGACAAAAAATAGGCCATTGAGGACACAGACCAATTTTCCAAGGTCAAATGTGGACATTTTTACCAGGGCTCTACTTTTCACTCTGTGGGATTTTTAAAAAATCTTGATTTTTAATATCAAAGTGAATAGCATTTCAAGCCCATTTTTTTTTTTTTTTTGCTCAGATGTGACATTCTCATACTATAAAAGAAAAAATTCTTAAAAGAACAGATAAATTTAGCCCATGAAATGGAATTACCAACTGATTCCAAACCTGTATCTCTCCTTGACTGACTCTTAGATGGTAGGAAGTCACCTTGTGAGCCCCTATCTATAGAAATATTCAAAGACAATGGTTACCAGGAGGCTTGCATCAGAGAGTCATTTGGGGCCTTAATGGATTATTGTAACAAAAAAACCTTTTTGCCCTAAAGTAGCCATAGAATTATTATTAGATTGCTGGAATTGAAAGGACTTTTAGAATTGTGTAGTCCAGTCTTCTCATTTTTTGGATAAATCAGTCAAAACCCAGGAAGACTAATTATATTACCAGAGATCTCACAGCTACTTAGTGAAAGAACGGGAAGGAGATACCAAGCTTCTGGCTGAGCCATCTTTAATACAGCACAACGTCTTCAGAAAAATACACCCTAGTGTTACAGGTGACCTCCCCGTGACTTTGGGGATGCCCTTACAAAAAGCAAGCCATTTGGTAATACCAAATACGTCCTTCTGTTGATTTTCTAGCTTTTCTCCCTTAACTTCACCCTATTATTGAGGGACTATCTAAAGTTGGAAACAATTTTCTGTAACTAGTGATTTATAAAAATAGAACAGAATGATATCCTCAATCTCTCTCTCTCAACAGAAAATATTTCCTGAAGTTGGAAAATGATTTTTAAAAATTGTTGAAGCCCCTTAATTATAAAAAATCACTCTAAGTTTTCATAAAAAATCACTCTAAGTTTGAAAGAGGACGAAGAACACTCATGCACACATGCACAACACAGACACACATACACACACACACATATCCTAAGAAACTAGAATGTGCCTAAAGATTTGGCTGAAAGTATTGAATTTGTGAGAATAAAAGTTATGTTATAATCATATAATAGAAAAGATACATAATAAAAAAGATTTAAATTTTACATTATCACATTAATCTGATTATTGTACAGATAGGATAAAACAGTACAATATAATACATTTGATAATTTCAAACACTCAGAAAGAACAACAATTAAATTACATATTGGCATAAAATAAGATACTAAAATTTGCATTTATATAACATATTTGGGATTATAACACTTCTTTCATAAACATTAACTTATTGTATACCTTTAAGAATTTGGGGGTTAGGTACAAATATGTTAATATTACCTTTCCAGATGATTGGCAGCTCAGTGAGATTGGCTTGGCCCAAATCTTATAGCAAGTCAGTGGTGAGGCTTCAGATCATCTAGAATTTCATCCAGCATTCTTACCCCAGATCGGAGTGGTTCCTGGAGGATAAGGAAGTACCAATGAGGAAGACTTACGTTGCAGAAATGATGACACATAAAAATGTTGAAAAAAAAAGGAATGCATGATTTTGAAAGCTGAAGATTAATGACATGTAATAATTAGTGACATGGAACTGGTCTTATTTTGTTCACAAACTTTTGACTTGATAAAGGGAAAACAAAATCCAAAATCAACCTATGCTGACTACATATCAGGAAGTCCATTTGATGTTGAAAAACTAAAAATGATTAAAAAACAGACTTTACTTTTCTGGTGCTCACAAATGAGAAACTGAATTATAGCCAAAAAAAAACCAAAAACAAAACAGAAACTTGGAATATGAGTTCTAATAAGAAACAATTTAAATACAATACACCTTCAGGAATATGAGGTCAATATTAAATATTAAAAGAACAATGTAAAAATATTTGTATGCCAAAAAAATTATAATTATCTTTCAAATCTGATTTTTAAAGAAAACAAGGAAGTTATTCTCAAACAAAGAGTTAATTTTATGTAAATGTAAATTAAATAATCATTTGAATGTTGGACTTGTAAATTATACAGAAAATTTACAATTACGGGTCAGGTCAAGTAGCTTCTGATTTAAGAAAAAAAATCCTTAGTTTATGTAATATCAGATTTTCCTCATACAGCTATCAGACAACTACAGCTAATGCACATAAGCACACACATGCATATATACATACACTGATACATAGTTATATCTATCAGAAAGATATAAGAAAATTATCAGGTTTCACATCAAGTAAATTGCTTTCCAATTTTATTAAATATTGGAGGCAAGAAGGTTTTTAAAAATTATTTATAAAATAGTTCATGTTTATTGTAGAAATATAAATGCTATAATCTAGAATAATTTAAAAATAAACTTATTTTTCTGCATATTTATAGCCATTTAAAAATGAAAACTGGACTCATAAAGCTTTTTGGAATTCAGGTTAATATTTTTATATTATCATGATTAGAAATTCTTTTGAGAACATAATTTTAATAATTTATAAAGCGAAAGTGTATACCCAATAGTGTTGCTAACAATGGTTTCCTAATCTTAACAGAGAGGAGAACACTAATGGCGTGGTGTGAAAAAGGGTCTTGGCAAACGTGGATAGAAGGAAGCCTGTGTGAGAAGTGGGGTGCGGGGCTGTCGGTGTGGGAGCAGAATGTAGACACCCAGGAAAGATCAAGCGGAGGACAGATGAGGATGAAGTGGTTCCACTGTGCAGGCTGTTGGACCCTGAACGTGGCTGGGAACCCTGTAGATTGTGAAGCAGAAACTCTGAATCCCAGAGCTGACAGGTTAATTGTTAATCACATAGGTTAAAAAAAAATACATCGTATATATTTCACTTCCTTAACTACTTCCTTAACTTCCTTAATCTTTAACAATCTTTAATCTAAATCTCTGACTTTCATCTTCACTTTGGCTTTTTGTTGTTTTTTTTTTTGGTGGTGGTGGTGGTGGTGGTGGTGGTGGTGTTTTCGACATGGAATCTTGCTCTGTCACCCAGGCTGGAGTTCAGTGGCATGATCTCAGCTCACTGCAGCCTTTGCCTCCCAGATTCAAGCGATCCTCCTGCCTCAGGCTCCTGAGTAGCTGGGATTACAGGTGCCGGCCACCATGGCCGGCTAAGTTTTTTTTTTCTTTTGTATTTTTAGCAGAGATGGGATTTCACCATGTTGGCCAGGCTGGTCTCGAACTCCCGACCTCAGTGGACCCACCCACCTCGGCCTCCCAAAGTGCTGGGACTACAGGCGTGAGCTACCACACCCGGCCTTGTCTTCACTTCTTTTATATAAATTCTTATTGCATGTCCCTGAGAAGTTACCTAACATCCCTGAATCTGTTCCCTCATCCATATAATGGATTTCATGATTATGAATGCAAGTATTTTAATATATGTATAATACCTATACAACTATATGCTATAGCTAGTTTAGTATATAACATTCAATTTAAAATAAATTTTCTTCAATTACAGTAAGTATAGCATTTTGCCTTCTGTGTTTTACAAATAATTTGATAATTAATTGATCTCAATAACTGATATCAATAATAATTTTAGTTTGTTAGGTAAAGGTATAATTTGACGGCTTCACTACGCCTTTCTTTAACCCATCTTAAAACCAGAGAGCCATACTTCATTATTCACAGGGCGGAATGTTGCCAGAAGAATAAAAATATGTCTGATAATTATTGATAATTATTGCTTTTACAGAGTCCGTGCCTGAGTGGCTAGCACTCAGTGAGTGAATATCCTCAACACTCAGTATTTTGCAAAAAGCCTTGCATGATAGATGAATGGCTTTTATGCAGAGATGGGATGATGCATAAGGAACAGAAATCTATTATAGATTTTCTATTAAAATTAGCAAGTAAAATAAGTCATGGTTATTCCAAGCTCTTAGGTAAGAGAGGAGCAAATGTATTACTGGTGACTTTTTGGAGGACTCCCCCTCCTGTGGTTCATGCTCATTCTAAATTGCCTGAGAGTAAGCTGGAGACGGCACTGCACAATAATCCCATATGTAATGTGCTGATAATTAAATCCCTCTGACAATTACATCATGCATTAGCAGGCTCACCCCGATCCATTACTCATGATCACTGTCTTGGACAAAACAAAATGGGCACACGAGGGACCATTCGTACAGCAGATGCTCCTATGGAAGAAGGTAGCCAAATTCTGTTTATGTAATGTGATCCAGGCAAGGCTAAAGCAAGGGCTCCCTTCACCCTCCCCAGTGAGCACCAAGTTCATGGAGATAATGACACCCAATCTCTGCCACCTGCCTGGCCTGGTCTCATTGCCAGTCTAAAAAAGTACATGGTAAAGGTCAACCAGCATGGATGGCACCAGCATATTCCAGAGGGACTTCTGGTGACTTTGAGAGAAGCAGCAATGCTCTCATATTAAGCCTCATAGAACAAGGTTCTCCATTTAGAAAGAGCCAAACTATTTTTTAATTGCTAGTTGAAATGTTACTCTTTATTTGATCACATAAAGATCATTCTGAAGTGACAAAAGATAAACTGTTACATAATTACAATATTAAATTATAAGTACTTCCAAAATAGACTGTTTGTATGTGTACACACACACACACTCACACACACACACACACACACACACAGTGTTGAAGTTTCACATGTCCATGTATTTAACACAAGAAGTTAAGATATTCCTCAAAATTTTTGCAGACAACATGCATAACAATTTAATATTTACCAGATATATCCAAAGCTGCTAATATTGTAATTAATAAGAATTCAAATAACCAACATTGTCAATTATACAAAATGTTTTCTTCTTGCAATAGACTTTTAACATAAAAAAGAAAATAACAAGAGATGATCAGATATTCATGTTAAAAATTAACAAAAAGCAAGCTAATTTTTAAAAGTCAAGTTTATCCTGGAGTCATTAACCTTCTGTTTGGATCTACATATTCAGTATAACCACTGCTATTTTTGGATAAACATCAGAGTAATGACTTTGAAATTTTTCTAAGGAGTGCTGACACTCTACCAGTATGTACTTACAGGATCAAACAAGGTATTCTGTACTTAAAATATCAAACCATGGTCTATTCTGATTGGTTGTATATCTACTTCACTGATACTCCAATATTTTGACTATTATTTCTGCTTCCAAGCTACAATAAACATGCAATAATTTACTCATGTTTATTATAATCTATTAGCTCAGCAAGTGATGTAAACTCATATTTTATAAATTATTTCTAAGACGAACATAAAATACGAAGAGCTTAAACCAATGAGAGAAGTCATCAAACTGTGGGAGAGGAGGTGGGGAATTGCTGGAACAGCTTCTTCCCATGGGCCTTGTACATATGTGCATGGGCAGCCATCTGTTTGTGTCTGCAGACCTGCTCCCTGGGAAGCTTTTGCTCTGGTTTGACTCCTGGAGACTGAGCAGGTCCCCTATCTGAGTGAAGCCAGGAGAATATATTAATTATGCACTTGGCTATGTGGGGGTCATACTAGCCTGATTTCAAAACCTGGCCCTGCGATTTTCCAATCTCTGATCTAGGCTCATTCTTTACCCTCCCTGCACCATGCCTGCTTCTTTTTCCATTACTTGAGACTGTAAGGCTCTGCTGCTGTAATAAACAAACCTCATAATCCTGGTGACTTAACACAATAAATGTTCATTTCTTACTCACCTAACCTCCAAAGTGGGTCAGAATACCCCAAGAGCACCTGCCTTCTGCATGGTAACATTGAGATCCAGGCTGCCTCCATCAAAAGATGCCACTGCACGTCTGGTCACGGTGGCTCATGTCTGTAATCCCAGAACTCTGGGATGCTGAGGCGGGCGGATCACCTGAGGTCAGGAGTTCGAGACCAGCCTGGCCAACATGGTAAAACCTCATCTCTATTAAAAATACAAAAAAATTAGCCAGGCGTGGTGGCAGGCGCCTATAATCCCAGCTACTTGGGAGGCTGAGGCAGGAGAATTGCTTGAACTCGGGAGGCAGAGGTTGCAGTGAGCTGAGATCGCGCCACTGTACTCCAGTGTGGGCAACAACAGCAAGACTCCATCTAAAAAAAAAAAAAAGATACCACTGCACATCATGTGAGAATTTTGCACTTGTTCTTAATTGCCTGTGCTTGGAAATGACGCACAGCTTCTCTCCTCAATTGGCTATAACTATTCCAATGACTACAAAGAAACTCTGAGAGAAGCTGGTTGGTCGGTTCACACGTGCAGGAAATGCAGAAGAACCAAACATCAAGAGTATGAGTAATCTCCACACAATAATTCATAGAGGAAAAGTTAAAAAAAGTAATATTTTCCAAAGCTGTTGGTATACTACTTGACAGTAAGTATGCAAGAAATGATCATTTTTATTATGCTGTGTTTTATTTCCATTATTAATTTATGATTCAGTTACATAGGAGACTCCTTTATCGATCCCATCCCTCCATTGCCTATGATGATTTTATTGCCTT